GGGGGGGGGGGAGGCCTGGGGGTTATGAGCACAGCAGCTCACATTGAGAGTCAACGTGATGATTAGAGTGACACCACCTCCTGGTACCTGCTGGGGTCAACGGGTCACGGGCCTGACGGTCGTGCGGTCCGCCCATCTCACCGGGGTGCATGCGGGACGAAAGGGTCGTTTCGACCCGGGCAGTGGCGTAGAAAACACGACAGTCGGGCGGGGAGAGCGCCGCCGGTGCCCCCCTCTGCTCGCCCGCCGGCTACGCCCCCGGCACAGCCCAGCAGGCAGTGGTATCACCTGGGCTTATTTGACACCGCGCTCCCCATTCATACCAATCAATATCAATGCGCGCGAGGAGACCCGCGGCGCGCGGCGCCGGTACAGAGCGGCAGGTTGCCTGCCGCGGCGATGATGGGGTTCGCGGGGTCGAGTGGCACCATTTATTAGAGCAGCCAGGAGATCAACGGGGGGGAATTCCCTCCCTCACTCTACAGGATCAGCACCCTTCTCACGCGAGGATAGTTGCCAGGACAGGTCTGCAACACGCCGCCCGCCCCGCTCAGAGAGAACTCTGGCCCCGCTCCCCCGGAGCTGGCTGCTGACGCTTTGCCCGCACCGCCCGCACCGCCGCCCGCCTGGCGCCAGAGCGCCCCGACAAGGCCGTCTGCCCGACGGGGATGGGGCGCGCAGGAACCGCCGGCCAATAGCGGGCCAAATAGCTACACGGGCAGACGCGAGCAAAAGAGCGAACCAATGATTATCTGTCTCGGTGGCCGAGAGGAGGAAATGCACGTGGGCGACCCGGTCCAACCTCAGCAAGGGAGTCCGGGCCCAGGGCGACTTCGTCGTGATGGCGCAGCAGCAGGAAGACTGACGAGGACGCCGATGGGAGACACGACGTCCGGTCGGACACGACGGCACCGGCGCCACGAGCACAGCAGCGCGGATCCGCGAGCTGGACAAGCACGGCAGAAGCGACGTCCCCGCGAGCCGGCCCGGCCAGGCACTGAGGGAGGGTCTGGGAGCGGCCCCCGCCGCGTGCAGCGCAACCCCCCACTCCGCGGAGCGGGCGGCGCCCCCGCGGTGCCCTCTGCCCTCCACTTGCTACCCCTCAGCCACCCACGCTGAGGCCCAGGTTCAAACACCGTGTGTTAGAGCGATTGTGTGTGTGTGTGTGTGTGTGTGTGTACGTGAGAGAGCAGTATGGGGAAGCTGCTGGCTGCTCGCCTTTTAACTCTGGCGGGGACCTTCAGGGCCTTCGGGACCTTCCCCACCTTCCCGACGCTGGTGTGGCGCCGGGGCGCCAGCCGTCCGGTCCGCTGCGCTATCCGAGGCCCACCACTCCCCGCCACCACTCCACTCCTTTGACGTCTTTCCGCCCCCCATAGCCCCCGTGCGCTTGCCCTAGCGCACCCCCTCCCATCCCCTCCCCCTCCCCGCCTGACACCGACAGTATGGGGTTACAAGCACGAACCGAACCCCTCCTTCCGGCCCCCCCTCCCATCACTTCCCCCTCTCGGGCCGCGGCGAAGGGGCAGGGAAGGGGGTGGGTGGAGCCCCCCGATCCCGTTCAGGCTGCGCACGGGGGCAGCACCTGCCCCCCCCCATAGGTGGTGACCTCACAGCCCAGCCCGATCAGAGAGAGGACTCAAGGAACAGACAAACTAGTGTCACATCAGATCTCTATGACACCACAATGAGAGTCTTGTTGAATCCAGGGCCAGAGGTAGTCGGCTAAATGAAACTACCCTTTATTTCATATTGCACTTAATATTACCGTTAATGTTCCTCTGTCTTCTGATTCACTAAGATAAAGTTCTAAGCCGACACATTGAGTCGAATCAGCGTCTATTCACTTATTCCAACAGGTGTATTTACTGGGTTTCCTTATTCGTCTTGGCATTGTTATAACCCTTGTTAAAGGAGTAAGTATACTTCGGCCTGATCTACCCGCAAAATTTGTGCCATATAAATGAGTTGCTTGGGAAATGTTGCAAAGTTCTTACTTGCACAACTAAAGGGATACAAAAGCAAAAACCGAATTTGAAGCAATTTAAATGCAAAAACATATGTTTATTCTGAAAAAAAAAATCTAGGAAAGAAATACAAATTTTAGGATCCTAAAAGAAAATGATTGAATTAACTTATTTTGCAACCACATCCCACACCCATAAGTTCTCCATCCCTCTTTAAATATAAGTATCTAGAGATCAAATATGGCACACATTCATATGGCACCCTACACCCATATCATCAAGATACATGCTATAGGAAACTACTTAAAATCGCTAAATGTCTTCACTATCTGGGAAACTAACATGCAATTTTTTTTAAGTTAACTCTTAGATAGGGTTTTAAGACGGGCAGTTTACCTCGGTTTACTCTCATCTTCAAGAGATTAGCACCACCACAAAAAATACGCCAACCACAAACTCCCCAGAGAGAGTACAATATGCAACCACTCACCTTGTTAGCAAGATCTAGAAGGTTTCCTGACGAGGTACTTCCACCAGCGGCTTCTACAAGTTTTTGAAGTGAGTGTGGCTCTGGGCTTAAATCACGAGCTCCACTATCAAATTCCCAACTTTCATGTTTCCCAGCCGAAGCAGCTCCTATGGAGAGCACAGGAGTCCTTTAAAGTGGACTGAGAGAGTAGAAGATATGTTTATTATAGTGTGAAGCTTTTACCTAAGCTGTTGTCACTGCTTGTAGGCAAGTATTCTGCACACTGATTTCTCAGGTTGGAAGTACTGTTACAACGCAGTGCATCAATCTCTGGGCGTAGAGCAATACGTCTTCGAAGAAATTCTTGATATGATATTCTTCCATTCTCATCAGCACCCAGCTCACGCATCAATTCTTCTAATGAATCCTCAAGATTTAACTCTCGGCATACAGAGAGCAAGTCATGGCTATTAAAATATAAGGAACAACCATCAATAACACAAATGTATTTAGGAAAGCAATTCCAAAACGGTTTACATAAAAATGCAAACCTATCAATGAAACCATCCCCGTCACAGTCACAAGCTTGAAAGAGCTTGCGTATTCGCTCCTCATCGCATGTCGAGTTAGCATCCTCACTATCTCCACAAGCTTCTGAATGCTGCTCTGACGAATCCATGGTAAAATCCAAAAGTATGAATAGGCACAACTCTAATTCCCAATTAAAAAAACAAACTTTATCCTAATCCATGGGTCTGCTGCATACTGTAAACAAAAACAGCTCAGTGTTGATAGAGGACTTAACAAAGATAGTGTGCAAGTAGTTAGGTGATGCATAAATGTCTTGAGGCGAGTGAAATTTCCAAAATATCAGGTTGTTTCATACATGTTTTAAAACAAATTTACAAGAACGAGAACTTTTTAGAAGACCTCAACAGCTCACTCTATTCTTATTTCTAGAGACTTACGCTACTGCTGCCGCTTCCGATATTTCTCTCATCGAAGTCGGAACTTTAAACAGTAAACGTGATGGAAATGAGAAACATTGCCGGTCAAGTCATGATAAACGGAGGATTCCAGAATGAATGCAGTTTTCTCAGTTTAAAATTTTTTCGTACTGTACAGTGACAGAAGGTGCCTGTTCTGTCAATAACGCACTGTTTCTTGCAGCCGCCGCTTGGAGCGCCACTACTGCTCCACCTCGGCCCCACGCAGCGCGGGTTTTTAAACAGCTTCGCCACTCTATCAGGTCTGTAAGTCTGCCTTCATGAAAAAAGAGAGACAGGAGAGGGTGTTGGAGATCTTTATTAAAACCAACGAAATCACAGAGGCGGTTCGGACTATTAATTCAAATTTATAGAGTAGAAAATGAATTTCTCCATTTGTACCGTTACCAAAATTAAACAGAACGGTATCAACTCTTGATACCAACTTAACCTATAGTTATTAGATCCAGAGCATGAGCATTCGTTACCCGTTTCAACTCATTAACTAAAAAATAACACTACCTTATTCCCATGAACATCATAAAGGTAAAAAATAATATAAATTAAGTACGGCAGTTTTCAAGTACTAAAACAACACATTTGCAGTACTTTGTGTGTACAACACATTTGGAGTACCAAAAGTTCGTTTTTTGTTGTTTTTTTTCCCCACAGGTACATCAGTTGTCTGCGGTATAGTTGACTTCAGTGAGAAACAAAAAAAAAAAAAAAAAATCAGTCAAGTCAACTGCATCACAGCAGGCCAGATACACTTCAGACTTCAGACCACGGCTGTCAAAGCTTTCCAAGCTCTCTTCCCGCGGACTTTTAAGAAGAGTCCTCCTCGCTCCCTCCGCTGCCCCCGCTGCCACCGCTGCCGCCGCTGCTGCCGCTGTCGCTCTTCTTGCAGGCTGCGGCGAGCTTCTTGACCTTGGCCGCCTCGGGGCTGTAGCCCCAGACGATGAGGCCCAGGTGTTCCTTGGAGGGCTGGCCCTTGCTGGTGTACAGGGGCAGGTTGTCCTTGTTGAGCTTCTCCACGAGGGGCTTGAGGTTCTTGTTGCGGTGGATGTCCCAGGTCGTCTCGGTGCCCTCCACCTTCTTGACGCGGAGCTTCTTGTGGTCGCCCTCGGCCTCCTCGTACACGTCCAGGAAGGTGGGGCCCTTGCCGTTCAGCACGCCCTGCTCCTTGGCCAAGGGGCGGAAGGCGTGCAGCGTGTCCAAGGGCAGGTACCCGAAGTTCTCCTTCGACCTGAACAAGACCAACCAGTAGCATAAGCAAGAGGAGGCTGGCCGTACAACAGACCGCAGCCGATCAGACAACCAACCTGGAGTGTGTGCGGTAGTCTTCGAGCCACGCGTTCAGAGTGTCCACGGCCTCCTGGAGGTTCTTTACCTTCTCGGCGTCCTTGGTCCTCTTCAGAATCACCTTGGCTCGGTTGTACATAGAGTTGATAACCTAAGAGAGGCACATGAATGATTAGGACGGAGCGACTCCAAAGCCCATATAGTAGCCGCTCATACATGCAGAGGCGAGAGCGAGGCCGGGTTATACACCACGACGAGGGCCTCGTGGGCGTGTGGGGCGCTGGTCTGGTGGGGGCCTCGCGGCCGCGCGAGGTGAGCGTGTCCGGCCAGAGTCGAAGTAATGCGGCCTTTCCGGACTCCCCCCCCCCCTCTCCCTAAAAAAACGTGCGAAGGATATCCCGGCGAGGATCTACTACGAGGATCTAGCCGCAAGGACGACGCCCGAAGCCGCCGCCGCCCGCGCCACGCACCTGGTACTGGTAGTTGATGTCTCGTCCTTCCAGGAGCCGCAGGGTCTCCTTCGCCTTCTCCTTGTCCTTGAAGCCGCCGCCCGTGAACGTCGTCTCGGTGTTCTCGGAGCCGAACAGCTGGCCGCCCTGCCACCCGGAGCCCTCGCTGCGACGTTCGGCCGACGAATCGGACTTTACCTTCGGCATGATGTTGTTGTAGTAGCACCTGCGGGGAACCGGAACAAGAGGGTGAGGAAAGGGGGCTGGGTTATGAGGGGATCAAAGGGGGTCGCGGGGGGTTCGGCCGCCGGACCGCGCATGCATATGAATAAACCCGCCGTCTCAAAAATAAAAAATAAGAGCGAAACGTTGATTAATTATCATTTCCACAGCGGAGGCATCGTTAGACGGACCCAATTTTCGCGGCGGTGGACACGCTTTGGGTCAAGGCCGGCGGCGGCGACGACGAAGCGGGCTGCTCTGCGGCAGAGAGGGGTGGGTTATGATGAGAGCGTGAAGGCTAATGGACCCCGCCAGGACCGGGGTGGCGCCAGAGCGCGGCCGCATCTGCCCGCGGCCGACGACCCTTCGCGTCGTCAAGACCATCACGACAGACTACATCATATTTCTCCCCGCGCTTATATTCCTCCCTCCATCTTGTTACTCATTTATATTTAATTCATCCATCTTTTATTTTCTCTCCATGGCTCCCTCTATGGCTCCTATAGGCCCATCACTCATTTGAACGCGCGCCTGCTGAATGTGTTCCGCAGCAAAAGGGAAAGAGAAACATTTTAATGCTCCATGTACTGCTTCCGGCCAGCTATGATTATTTCCCCCAAAAACCTCGCGCGAGAAGTGACGACCCCCCGTGCGTAATTAACATTCAAATAGCCGACACCCATAGCCCGGCAGCAGTAAATTGGAAACAAGGCCGGCCTGTGCAGAGAGGCTGGACGCTGCTCAGAGTTATGGGTCGGCAGCCTGAGGTTCTTCTTGCGGAAGAGGTCGCTACCGAATTCAGAAAGAAAAGGTGACATCATCCCGCTCAGCCCCCTCCTCCTCCTCTCCTTGGCTCTTATAACCTACTCGTAATTTGTAATGCGCGATGGTTTTTGCTCGGCCGTCGAATCTCTACCTCATCGGTAGACGGTATGGTCGGTCAAGATCGCGCCGGCCGGAACGCTGAAAGAATGGGTCCCCGAAAGTCCCCAAACGTTCGATTCCGGTTCACCTTCAGGTTCCGCCCAAGTAACCATAATTCTCGATTGGCATCGGCACCTCTAAAACATTGTCTTCATAGTTTCCCGATTGGCCTGCTTCCCGGCCGGAATTACTATATCCTTAACAATTTCTCGAGGTTGTTTTTTTTCTTTTTTCGTCGGCACATTAATTCACCCTTTTATGTCGGCTACACGGCGTTATGCCCCTCGTGGACGCCACGCCCACCTCACGCCTCACGCCTCGGGCGCGCGCGCGGCGGGTACCGAAGCGGGCAGCAGAGCGAGCAGGCCCACAGCCTCTGCGGGTGGGAGAGAGACGGTCTGTGAGACGGCGGCAGAATTTGGGATGCGCGGCTCGCAGGGTAACCCTTCGGGCGGCTTCGGGCCAAGAGACGAATGGGTGATGATGTCCGACCATCATCGGCATTTCAATTCATTTCACTATATTGAACCGTCCGCTTCGTTATACCACGGTCAACACCTATGTCATAGCGAAAAAAACTATTCCTCAAAAACCAAAGGCAAAAAAATTTGATAAGACAGTACGCGAGGAACAAAACACAAACAAAATTTTGATGGTCGCTGAAGGTGACTCATAGAAATATTCCAATTACTGACAGTCGATTACAAGTTTCAAAATCAAGATGGAAAGAACAGCAGTTGTTTTATTTTTCGTTAAAAATTTGCGACTGCGAAATTCTGCGGATGGGAGCCAACGGGGGAGTCCCCCCCCCCTCCCCTCTCCCGCCCGCGACGGTGTATACTCACTCAGACACTTGTTGAAGAGCAGGGAGAGGCGTTGACCAGCACTTTAGTACTCCTTTGGCGTGGTTAGCTCTCGCGGAGAACCGTCCTATCCACACAGCGGCAAAACAACGTTTGAGGCGCCTCGATTCTACTCGGCCTGCCGGGCGCGCGCTGTTCGTGCAGCTGCTGCTGCCCGTCCCCTTCCCTCTATCTCTCTTCCTCTTCCTCTTCACCGCCAACTCGCCAGCGGGAGCGAGAGAGAGGGGAAGCTTGGTGAATCCGGACACAACCATACGACCTCCGAAAAACAGCGGTGCGACGAGGAGAGTGTGGGGAGCGAGTGGGATTGAGTGAGAAGGCGACAGAGCGGACCAGACAGCGCGCCGGCCTCGACCTCCTCCCGCCCCCCTCTCTTCGTCTATACACTTCCTCGATTTTCTGCGGGGCCCAAAGTCGATTCTTCTTTGCGTTATGGTTCACCAACAGCGAATGTCACCGGCAAACAGTTGATTTAGCATTGCGGGGTCGGGCCGGGAGGGAGAGAG